CCCCTCCAGGTCCCCACAGGCCACAGTTTTACTTCTTCGGTTCCTATTCTCCACCTGATAGTGGGCTCCTCAGGTGATTTCCTAGTGTGTTTGGCCACCAGAGCAGACAAATACGGCACAGAAAAGAGTGGGAGGGCCCAGTGGTGTGCCACTGGCTGAAGGACTCATTCCCTTATCCCCCATTTTCAGCATTGGATAAAAAATCTTTCAGACATGGGCCCGGATCATGTAGGAGCTGCGGCTCCAGAGGGAGAAACCCAGTGAAGATGCCAGGGGCTTGGAGAACTCCTTCGTCTGGCCGAAGGCCTACAGGTGAGGAAGCCCAGTGGGGACCCAGGTGGGAAGCCACCCAGCTGCCCACCCACCCCACTCTGGCAGGCTGTGTCGTCTCCTGGTTACTTGTGTGGGGGTTCACTTCTGAGGGTAAGTTCCAGCCAAAAAAACCTGGAGGCAGAGGGAAATTTCTTCCTTCCCCATACTTGTGTGGGCTCTGGAACCAGACTGCTTGGGTTTGACTCCTGGTCCTGCTACTTATTCGCTGTGTGACCTCGGGCAATTACTTAACCTTTCTGTGCCTCAGCTTTCTCATCTTTTAAACAGTCATGATAATGGGCACCTGCATTGTAGGGTTGTTGAGAGGATTATATGAGTTATTATTTGAAAAACATTTAGCATNGGAGCACCTACATCTTAGGGTTGCTGAGAAGATTGAGTTATTTGAAAAACATTTAGCATAGTTCCTAGCACACATATAGTGCTGTGTTTTGTTTTGTTTTGTTCTGCTTTGCTTTGAACTTCAGCCCAACAGAAAAAATGGCCTGGGAGCATATCAGTGATGAGCCTTGTCAATTCTTGGCTGAGTTCACACCCCAAGGTGGCCTCTGTGGTATGTGGAGTGTTTGAACTAAAGGTGACTCTAGCCCTGGGCTCTAGAAAAACTTCTTTCCCTCCCTTAACCACCTAGGAGAACTTGAATTAGAGACCTTGCTCATAGTAACAGATTATCAGAGAGAGCTTCTTTTGACTTCCCTCTGCTGCAGGGCAAAGTTGTACGTACTAAGCATCAGCTCTCCTCATCCTGCAATGACCCTTTGAAGCCTCCAGGACACCTTACCTTGTCCTAGCTCGCTCAGAAGGTCTTACAAACCCATGTTCCCTTTCTGTCTTTGAACAGAAAGGGAACATGCATGTGGGGTCTCTGACTCTCTCATGTATGTGGGGTTCCCATACATGTGTGTGTCTTAAATTTGGTCATTTGCTCTTGTTAACCTGTCTCATGTCTATCTGATTGTTAGACCAGGCAGAAGAACCTGGAGGTAGAGGAAAGTTTCTTCCTTCCCCATACTTGCATGGGCTCTGGAACCAGACTGCTTGGGTTTGACTTCTAGCCCTGCTACTTATTTGCTGTGTGACCTTGGGCAATTACTTAATCTTTCTGTGCCTTAGCTTTCTCATCTTTTAAACAGTCATGATAATGGGCACCTGCATTGTAGGGTTGTTGAGAGGATTATATGAGTTATTATTTGAAAAACATTTAGCATAGTTCCTGGTGCATATATAGGGTTGTGTTCTGTTTTGTTCTGCTTTGCCTTGAGCTTCAGACCAACAAGCAAAATAGCCTGGGAGCAATATCTGTGATGAGACATTCTCAACTCCTGGCTGACCTCGAAGGATGACATCTGTTCCTTGAAAACACGGGTTTCAGAACATAACATACAATTTGCAAAAGCCAATGAGAGTGACACCTTGTGAGGGCCCCGCTCTAGCTCCCAGCACAGGAAGTTTCCACCGTACTCTGCCCTGACAACACAGTGACCCAGTGACTATTTCAGCCAGGTCCAGGTTAGGTGCTTAGGTATTCCTGGATTATATCCCTTCCTGTAACTCTGGGAGCATTGAAATGACACCCGTCATTCACTGGGTAGCCCTGAACAAACAGTCCCCACCAGGCCCTTGGCCTCCTTCAGGACCCCCACAGCCTGGGTAAGTAAGCTTGGCTGTTCCAACCCCTGGTTCCCTTACCTGTGACATGGGGACCATAATGGTACCTATGAGATAATGCACAGAGAGGGACACACAGCGCCCGTGTGCCCCCTGAGTGTAATGATCTCTTATTCATGTTGGGCCACCTTTGCGGGTCTCTTCACACTGCATGTCCCAGGAAGCTGGGACCTACCCGTTTAAGATCCTGTTGGCATAGCCCCTTTCACACACCATCTGTAATTAAGTGCTCTACCGATGGGGAAGCTGGGGCCTCTCTTTGGGCTTTAGTTTCCTTTAGAATGCTAATTGATTGTGTCTACACCTCCAGGCTATTCCCAGAACTCCAAGATCTAAGTTTCTTCCCGGATTAGTTCTTGCTGATTTATGCTGCGGTCTCCCTGCCTCTGCGAGAGAAACTCCTCCGTCCAGGCCTCGTCGGGTGACAGCTGAGCGGCTGCCCTCCTGCGTGCCTCTGGGCGCTGCTGTTTAACTTCAAGTCCCAGAGGCCTGTTGGTTCTGAGGTGGCAACGCCAAGGTTCCCTCTCACCAGGAACATTCCTGGAAAGTGTTAAAGGAAAACAAAGAAGGTCACTAGTTAATGGTGGGAAAGCCAGATTTTATTCAGTACTACTGCAGTAGGAAGATTTTTTTTTTTTTTTTTTTTTTTAATGATTTGAGAGAGAGAGAAGAGGGGTGGGGAGACCGATTTGCTGTTCCATGCATTTACCATTCTTCGGTTGCTTCTTATATGTGCCCTGACCGAGGAGCGCACCCACAACCTTGGTGTATTGGGACGACGCTCTAACCAATGCGCTACCCAGCCGGGGCCAAGAGGCTTCTTTAGTATAGAACTGAGCTTGATTCTGATCGATGTAGAGGTGACTTGGCCTTTTAAAGAGAGAAAGAAGGAGCAGGGAAGGGAAGCAAGTGGGGGCTCCAGCATTGTCAAGAAAGTGAAAAATTACAAAAAGTGTGTAAGTGGTCAATGTCAAGGTGATTAAGCCATCCATGTCTGGTGACTGGCACTTACCCAGGTAGGCTCCTACCCTCCTGCAGTGATTGGGACACAGGGCCACTGTCCTTCCTGACAATTATGCTTTAAAGGATTGGTTCCCAGGTCCTTCAGAAAGGCGCTCCTGGGTTCTGGAAGATACATGGAGGCAAGATAGTTAGATGTTAGGAGAATTTTTTTGACAATTGGGAAAAGGGAAACTGAGGCAAGTGGTTAGACAAATAGGGGCAAACACGTTAAGCAATTTATAATCAGCTAGTAAATTGTAAGATCTTACCTTCCCTCACCAAGGACACTTGAGAGCATATAGTTTACACTTCTTCCTAACCAGAGAGTAAATAGCTTAAATCACCATGGTCAGGGAGATAGACAACAAAGAGTCAGTTAGTGCCATTAGTGCCAGCCCACCGCAAGGACAGATGAAGTCAGGTATAAATAACAAAAAACCCAATTAGAGTCAAACAAATCCAAGATAGAGGTAAAACTGACCAGAAAATGACCCTGGTCCCTCTATGCGCTCATTTTGGCACATCCACATATGAAAAACACACACCTAGAAAGCTGATGAATATTCTGCTGAAACCCTCCCCTGAGATCTCCCCTAGGGTTACCATCTGCTAAAGAGAAATAAAGCCCTCAAGACAAAGAACACCAGCACCAGACTCTCTCCCGAGCGGGCGTGAACTTATTTTCTCCTAAACTTTCACTGTCCCCAGCTTTAATAAAACACTTAAAATTACCTAGACTCCTGTTGTGAAATCTTTCCTTCATGGAGTAAAAAACTGACACCCTACTGCTGGCCCGAGGCAGACTTGGGCCCAGTTCCTGTCCAGTGACATGTACATCTCAAAGGACAGAGAAGGGAATTACAACATTAAGTTTTTAAAAAATATATATGTTTTTATTGATTTTTAGAGAGAGAGGAAGGAAAAGGGATAGAGAGAGAAACATCCATGAGAAACATCATCAATCAGCTGCCTCCTGCATGCCTCCTACTGGGGATCAAGCCCACAACCTGGGAATCAGACCAGTGACCTCTTGGTTCCTGGGTTGATGCTCAACCACTGTCTGACCCACCCCGGCGGAGTAACAACGCTCAGTTTTTAAAAATAAATGCTTTAAGAAAATGGAAGTCAGGGGCCTATCAGCAGATCTTGGCTGGAACAAATGATAAATTCTTTTGGAAGCTTTGAGTTTTTTTCAGATAGGAACTCAAGGTGGGGCTGGGTCATCACAGGGACACAGCAGCCTTAGGCTGCTAGAAACAGTATTTGTTTTTTCAAGCCTCTCTGTGTTGAGGGGTGGACAAAATCATTTGTGTTTAGAGTTGCAGTTACTATAGGCCAAGGTTAAAGCCTAGTCAAGAAGAGGGCTCAGAGAAACCTGACTACAATTTGGCCCAGGAGAGAGTCTTTGTCAAAAGGAAGGTAGAAGTCAATGAGGCTGTTCCTGCTGAGGTTGTTAGAGGCTCAAAAATAAACAGTATGTTTGTTCCAGTGTTCTACACATGGCCAAAAACAAAACAAAACTAAACTAAACTAAAGGCATCATGGGATTGAGTTGGCATCTGTAGAAAGAGGACAGACATAGATTGTCTCCTCAGTGGCATCCTGACTGTGGACTTTCAGACCTTCTGGAAAGGTTGACCTCAGTGTGAGTCAGAATCCTTGGGAGAACATGTTGAATGTGACGCCAGTCCCCACCTCCAGATTCAATACTGGGCCTGTGACTCTGCATATTTAACAAGCCCTCGGGTGCTTCTGACACAAGAGGCCCCAAGGCCACCTTTGAGAAGTTGGTTTAAAGTATAAGATCAGGGCCCTGGCCGGATAGCTGGTCAGAGCATCTTCTTAATAACCCAAGGTTGTGGGTTCGGTCCCCAGTCAGGGAGCATACAAGAAGCAACCAAAGGCCCTAGCCGGTTTGGCTCAGTGGTTAGAGTGTCAGCCTGCAGACTGAAGGGTTCTGGGTTCGATTCCGGCCAAGGGCATGTACCTCGGTTGCAGGCTCTGTCCCTGCCCTGGTCAGGGTGAATGCTGGAAGCAGCCAATTGGTGTCTCTCTCACAGTGATGTTTCTTTCTCCCTTTCTCTCTCTCCCTCCCCCCTCCACTCTCTCTGAAAAGCAATGGAAAAAAATACCCTCGAGTGAGGATTAAAAAGAAAAAAAATTTTTTTAAAAAGAAGCAACCGCCCGGCCAGGCGTGGCTCAGCAGTTGAGCGTCGACCTGGGATCCAGGCGATCGGGGTTCGATTCCCGGTCAGGGCACATGCCTGGGTTGTGGGCTCAATCAATGACTCTCTCCTCATTGATGTTTCTATCTCTCTCTCTCTCCCTCTCCTCTCTCTGAAATCAATAAAGATATATTTTTAAAAATAAAAATAAATAAAAATAAAAAGAAGCAACCAATGAATGGATAAATAAGTGGAACAGCAACACAATGTTTCTCTCGCCCCCTTCCTCTCTCTCTAAAATCAATAAATTAAAAAAGTATATTTTTAAAGTATAAACATCTCTTAAACACACACAACCAAAGTGAAGGTCTGGGCGCTGTAGAGGCAGATCACTGGGAGGCCTCCCCAGCCAGCCGGGCGCTGAGACCACCAGCTCACTGCCCACCTCCTTTCCAGGGCCTGGGGTCCAGGGCCTGTCTATGAGGCCATGGTCCCAAGCCCCAGGGTACAAGCAGACAAGAACACTTAATGACATAGGGAGGTCTAACTGTAGATTATTAATGATAAAATGCAACGGGTCCAGAGGCAAAGGGCTACCTAACCCCCAGATCGTGGTTTCTAATACCAGTCCCCAGTCAAAGGACGCAAGGCTCCTCAGAGGAATGGCTCATTCTAGAGCTAGGCAGGAAATAGAATGAGCCTTGAGGATCTTGTAATGCCAGAAAGTAAGGAATTGAAGCTGCTTAGGGAAAACATAGTGATGTTTGTTATCCGGTAATAAGAAGGGGCGCCGAGGACAGCCCTTCAGAGGGGCCCCGCCTACCAGGTGGCCCGAGGCCTGGGTTCCGCAGCCCGGCCCGGTGGCAACAGGTTCCAGGTGGGAGAGGGGCG